TATTTACTTACCATTTCTGAAGGTTTGTTACCAACAGGTGTTGAAGGCCAACTCAGAATAACTTTATCACGCTGTTCACTTTCATAATCACTATCACTGATCACATGTAATGAACCATCTACTAAAGTTATCAGCCTTAATGATTTGAAGCATAATGTAAAGTATGGAATGTATTATTCTTATAATTGCAGTTGTTTAAATTCCTTTAGGGTCATTAAAAAGGAGCTAAATCCCATTAGATCCTTCCAGTGAACGGCCAACTAAAAAATATTCGACGAACACTCACTGAGGTCACTTCTGTTGTACACAGAGATGAATTGTGATAAACATTTAACGCAGTCTGAAAACCGTTCTGTTGTTTGCTTGCTTGTATAATCCGCACTGACGAAGTTCAACATTTGCTTCTCGTGCAGTGCAGACGTACTAACTTAATGCTTCAGGTAGATTGAGAGGAAGTTAGTGTGTCCTTGCCGTCTGTTAGCAATGAGGCGGTGTCCCGACTTGCGGACAGTCTACGAAGAATACTAAACGAGAAAATAAGACGTGATGACGTATTATGATGATCATGATAAAGAGATCCAAACAGAGGAAGGCGGTATTTTGCCATCAGATTTATTTGTTTAATTAATATTTAATCACAGTTATTAAAGAGAGAAAATTATTTTCAGTGCGAAATTGATAACGTAATAAGGAAAGGCGTATTTAACGGTGGTCTTCTCGTTAGGAAATGTAAAACAATTACACTAGCTGCCTGGAGTATTTCAGACTCGTCGCAGATTTGCATATTATGGCCATCAGGTGGGATCCACATAAGAGCACATAGTCCAGCAGTAATTTTACGGTGAAACCTACCACAAATACGCGTAGGAGGCACAGATAGGTACCAAATTGTGGCTTCTGGTGGGAAGAGAAAACCGACTTGATTTTGCTAATGCGTGTTACTGTACATTTCCAAGAGCGTTACTTAAATATCAGTCAAGTTCAGTGCATTTTTAATTGAAGTTAACAATACACAGCATGGCAAAACATAGTAACAACAAAAGTAACAGTAAAACAACAAAGCCACGCTCACCAAACAATATTCCCTAATGTGAAAACCAGTTTTCTTAACCAGGATGCTTGCATGATGTCGGCTATCTGCGACTCTACAGCGTAGGTGATGAAATATGTAATCAGCACGTTGCAAAGTGCAGCTATAAGCAGAGTTCATGTCAGCTTGGCCTTAGGCTCTTCGTCACCTTGCCCAACACAGACTGACTGTACATCCGGAAATCGTGCCTTGCACACAAGAATTTGCAATAAAAATATGTGTTAGTGACCCTACCCGCAATGGAAGTGCAGTTGCGCACTATTTATTGGATTGTTTTCAATAAGTGCGTGAAATTAGTCCAGACTGGAGGAAATGCGTTTATATCCTTCCGTAGTAACACCTAAAAACTACTTAGCATATTTTGATATAGACCGTAATTCGGTACTGGGAGTTGGAAGCTTTCGGGCGAATTTCGCTCTTGTCTACAGGATGGGTGGGAAGTAAGTAGGTATTAAATAATCGCTATAGGTTTTGTAATATTACTGCAATCCTAATGAAAATAATGTGTACATAATGTGTAAATAGGATTTCATAATTCGCGCGTCAGTAGTGTGTAAAAATTATTTTCATTATCTTTGCATTGGAAATATAGAGGTTATAACCATTTCTCAATGCCTACTTACTTCCCACCCATCCTGTATATCGGTTCATTAAACATAGTTCGTACTTAAAAGTAAACTTTGATTTTAAAAAAAGGCCCATTTTACAAAACTTGATACATGATCTGCTGTACAGAAAATTAAAACCTGTAACTTGAACATATTAGGACCAAGGGTAACATTGAAAATGCTTCCCAAATTCTCACTTTACGCGCAATTGCCAGCTTGCTTGTGATATATTTAGGTCATATTTAATTATAGGCCTCTCTACAAGAAATAAGTTGCGTTTGAAAACGTCCGAGTAAAGTAACGACTTAACGCTACTGGTTGTTTTTTTGTCTCCCTCTACATGGCTTTTGTATAAATTATTCATAATTAATGGACAAATTCAATGGTTTCATACAACAAAAAATTAGAGACTGGCTTTGTGTATACAAATCCAAGTGCTAAATTTAAACGTGTATTCTACTGCTCCAAAGAAATGAAAGAAAATAATTCTTCATGTGACTAACAACTGAATCATAGCTTGTGCAGTTTAATCTGCATTAAAATATTGTTATCTCTTTCCTATTTGAGAACACTGTTACCGTCACCCCAAGTCAATATTAATCTTGAGTCATAATATTTACTCAGTGAATTAGTACTTTAAATTTTACATAATTAATTTACTTTACCACAGATGCTTAGGTATAAAAAAAACACATCACCGTTCTAAAATCAGCGAAGTCAAAACGTTTTCTGCCTGCCTTGAGTCAGCGTTTTGGCCACTTAACAAGTATATATTAGGTTTCATTATCCCCGTTACAGCTATTTACAAGTAATGCTAAGCCCCATGAAGGTCCACGCTGTACATGATGTAAATACGTGATGCCATCAGACATACTGATGTAAATAAAGAATTTCAGAGACAGCGTGTATGTCATGATCTTACACAGATCCCCATTGTCTTAGATTGCTTCTTCTGTAGAAGGTTAAATAAATATGACTACGAAACAATAGGGTAATGGCGCCGTTAATTTCTTTTCCTGTCTCGTGAGGGAGCAATTTCAAGTTGGAGCCCCGTCTCTTCTGTAGGTTAGGTTTCCTAAATTCTTTTTCAAGACAAGTACTTGTATGGAAGATTCCCCTCCAGTTTTAAATTTTGGCTTTCTTGATTGGGTTTGATCTTATGGCACGAACATTTGCTAAAGAAGTTGTTTATGATACAGTTTAAGGACGTGACTGTAGATTTTCTTTGTATAACAGGTGTTCCCAATCTTTTCGAGACTGCGGGCCACAGTATTATAAACGAAGGCAATTTATAGCATGGCAACATTGCAAAATATACGTTAATTTATTTTGGATTTGGTAATAATTACTCATGAAACAATCCAGTTAGCCATACATCCCTAGCTGCTACAGTTTAGATTACTAATGTCAACCAGTTCTGTGTAAATCACAAATATCTACAAGGAAATCGCTCAATTTTTTAAAATTTTGCAAATAAATTAAAACTGGACTTTGCGTCTTTCCAATCTACAGCTTTTATATCTCTTAAATTAATTAGTTTTCCGGGGTTGCCAGCTTGGAGTTAATTCTGTACTAATAAATATAAACGTTAATTTACGCTGTAAGTTCCACATTTATAGACCAAATGTATGCACATAAAAAACTTAACAATTAGGCCTATAATCCCAACATGCCAAGGAGTTCCGTGTAACGAGAGACAGGAAAGGGCCACACAATTTGGATACTGACTTTGCCCTTCTGCGGGTGATAAGAGTAAACGTAACATATTTCAATACCTGTCTAAAATCCATAGTGCTTGTGGAATTCTGAGAGTAACCGAAACATATCTTACGGTTAGAAATCCGCTCATGTTCGTTTAGTCTCTGAACAACGCGGGAAAATACAGTTTTAATTTATAACCATTAAAGGTTTAACAGTGCTATATTGTTTTGTAAAGAAACATTCACATTAACAAGATCATGACGCAGAACCTAGGCATTTATAGGCACTAAGCATGTTCCAAGAAGTCCATTAATATTTAATAACCATTTTCTGTTCGATTCTTTGTCGGCTGCATTATTTCCCAAGATGATGTGTATTTTAAACCATGGCACACAGAAGAGAACCAAACGGTTTTCCACTATGATTTGACACACTGACAGCAACCCTGAATCATAACTCACGTTCATGGTCATAAGATCGTCTGCAAGCTTTGGAGTTTTTTTTATTGAGGTTCAACCCAAGGCCTCGCCTAATTACAAAGGATTTTAAACCTTAGATAAGGAATTAGTACGTCAGAAGGACTCCACCTCGACAGAACAAGACAATACATTTCTAAGTCTAAAATATACAAAATAAAGGAATATGATTCTTCCTACCATCTTTGACTAGAGATATGTCAATCTTCTTTTCTGGATGGCCACCCAAGGACACAATCAATTGTGCGTCATAACATTGTAAGTCGTAATACGCACAAATTTAGCGCAAGCAATTCAAAATATAGCCTAGCCACAAAGGCAGAACAACTGCCTGTGTAACAGAACGTCGTGGCCGAGTGTTTCTTGTTTCGTATTTGGGAGGTCCCGAGTCCAAATCTAGATTCGGACATGGGCCATTTTCAGTGTTTTATGGTAATTATGAAATGTTCCTAACTACAGCTTATTGTCCATGCCTTCCAACGTACGAGGCTCGTCCACAAAGTAAGTTTCCCTGGGGCCGTTTACAGATACAAAACACAATTTCATGGAAATATTTATTGCAACAGATACAGCAAGTGTCCAGCTATTTTTCAACATATTCGCCACCGGAATTGAGACATTTGTCATACCGTGGGACCAACTTTTGAATACCTGTGTCGTAGAAGTCTGCCGCCTGGGATTGGAACCACTGTGTGACAACCATCTCCGCCTCTCTGTCATTCTCAAAACGCTGACGCTGACCGGACAGGAATTTCTTGAGGGGTAGGAAAAGATGGAAATCACTGGGAACGAGGTCCGGGCTGTAGGGTGAATGATCAAACACCTCCCAGCTGAACTCCTGCAGGAGACTTGCTGTCCGTCGAGCCGTGTGCGGCCGAGCGTTATCACTGACCGCACTTCACAGTCGGCGGGAGCTGGAATAAGAACCTCCATCTTCAACAGCTGCAACGATGCTACTGTGAGAACGCGGGAAGTGCCGTTAGTGCATGTGCCATGCTACGTCATTGCTCTATCACGTACGCACAGTCGCTTCGCGCAATATAAGGTTTGCTAGCTGTGGGACGAGTGGGAAACTTACTTTGTGGACGCGCCTCGTATTCCAAAATCATAATAATGCAGCATCGTCACCCAGGAGACAAAATGTGTACCTACTCAGTTAATTTTCCGTGTGCATTCTTCGTCAACAAAGCGTAGGCCCACGTTATAATAAAATGAAGTACAGGTCTGATACCCCTAAAATGAAAGTTTCATGATCAAGAGCGAATTATATTTCGACTAAATTCACATATCTTCATTAATTCGCAAACACTTGTCAGGCTATATAAACTTAAGTTAACGTTGTTTTAATGGATTTCAATAATCGACGTACGTAACTTTATCGATTCTTTCGTCATGGCGGTCTACAATTCTAAACACATCGATAATCCACAGGTTTTCCCAGTAATAACACCAGAAAGAAGTTTTTAAAGCATTATATTCCGGCATGTTCAATCTCGTCAATGTGTGCCTGTGCCATATCCTTTCCTCGCCAAGACTCAGGCCGAAAGAGTTGGAAGGCAGCTTCCGT